TTTATATGACTTTCATTTGCATTTTATATATTATTATTTTTTTTAAAAAATAATTAAATTATATCAATTTTAATATAATTTATTAACTAATACATATAACTTAATTTAAATAAATAGAATAAGGCTGGTATTTATAGTACTCCATTTTATTTTATTTTTTGGTTGGAAGGGCTCTTAAAAGGTCAGAATCTAATTCAGCAACGTACTGGCGCGGTCCACTAAAGTCACTGTCGGGCTCATCTATGCATGCACTGCTGTCAGCACCTTATTGGACCCTAGAGAAACGCCAATATATTTCAATTTTCATATGTCCGTCAGCAAATTTAAGAATAGAAAAGAAAAGCTAAGTGTATTTGTGGATTTGGATTGTTTTGCAATTTCTTATTCATGATAAATTTGAGAAACTTTTCGCTGGCTAGATGAATCTACGCAGCGTTTCTTTCTCTTACTTCTCACGTGGAATCTCCTTTGTTAAAATTGTATAGAATTATACTCTTTTTATCTCAAAAAATATTTTCTTTTCTTTTTCATACATTTAAAAAAAATTATTAATTATTATGCTATATAATATTTTTTGTTAATAATTTTTTTAATGTGAATAAAGATAATTTATTTATATGCATTGTATAATTTAGACAATGTTATGTGCTTAACTTAACGCAATAGCTAAATGTTAAAGAAAATTTTGTTGAAGAGATTATACAAATTTAATTTTAAAGGATAGAATTAATGGTAAATGAAGTTTGTTTCCTCATGTAAATTTTTTATTTTGAATTTTAATACTAACAATTAATTATTCTCTTAGATACATCATATCATATAAATTTAAATTTTGATTACTTTATCTTTTTGTCCAGGGTGATGTAATTTCTTTGAGTCCTTAATCGACTAACTTCGTTACTATATATGTGAGTAAACTTGAATCGTTGTCTAGTAAAAGAAAAAAAAACAAAAAGAAAGGAATTCTTAAAGATATGGATCTTTAACGTGTCCAAGTGCTTTCAAACAAATTATTACTCACAGATAGTGATCAAAATTTGTAGTATATATTATTAAATTGTGAAGACTAATGTCAACGTAGTTCACAATTTAGAATGCTATACACAGAGAGATCTTAATAATTATAATTTTAGTTGTCCACATTATAATTCTAATTATACACATTATAAATAAAGAGAACATTATTTATATCTATAATTGTCACTTAATAAAATTTTAATAAAAAATTCTGATACAGTTATGAACTAGATATAATTATCAAACTACGTAACTCTATGTGTTGTATGATTGTTTTATTTTTCTATTGGGTTTTCATGTTTGATTCGTTTTCTAATATATATGTCCCCATAACATGGTATGCTACTAAAGAAAATAAAAAATCCTTTGCATATATGTGATTGGTGACTTTTTTAACAGAATCTAATATTCGTGGATATATACTAGTTTGTTTTAGACCATGATTTTTAGCTTTGGATCCTCTTGAGGGATTTTCCGTATTTTTTTCTTTAGATGCTGATTCCTTTCTACCACCTTCGGTTGTATCTTTCCCTCCAATTTGGATTTCCAAAAACTTTAACATAATATAAGGACATTGAGAAAGAAAACTTACAGTGAATTCTTCAGAAACTTGGAACGAAATTCTTAGGGTTATGCATTCTAAGAAAGATTTCCTAATTCCAATTTTCACAACACTATTATTATGGATTCAGGATGTTACAATAACCGGTACCTTTTGCATAACTAATCGGACTGAAAAAAGGAAAAAGAAGAAGAAGAATAGGGTTACATAAGGGTGAAGTAGGTACAAGTCATGAACCAATTATCTCCAATGCATTGTTAGATTATTCGACCTATATAGCATAAACCAATGCCAAAAAATAATATAGTTACATAATACAAAACATTAACTCTAAACGATTAATTTGGTAGATAAGGAGATTTGTTTTTTTTATTTAACTTTTCACATTCAAATTTTTGAAATAGCGCTTAAATGTTTTTATTAAATTCATGCATTACGTTCATAGTACTTTTGAAAATTAATATTTACTTCATTTGCTTGAAAATTTTGTTTGTTCTAGAGATGTAAGTTATTTATTAATTTTGAAGTCGTCACTTAGTATCAAAGAAATCGAAACGTAAAATGAGCATCGGTTCAAAGATTCTCGGATAAGTAGTTGGTTATAAATTTAGAAAGATATCAATCAATCAAATGTATTTTTTCCTAAAAAAATATACCATGTCTAGCTTACTCCTAAAATTTATCTCTTAAAAATTTCTATTTTCAATTAATCTTAGTCAAAATTTCAAGTCTTATTTCCTATGTCCAACTAAGTTTTTTTTTTTTTTTTTTGAGGGGGTTTCATGTTAAATCAATCATCGGACCCCTTTGTTGGACGTCTCATCGATTTACCATTAGATCTAGTTAAAGTCTCGACATAATTGATATATTGGAGAACAACCTAATTACTAAAATGTAATTGATTTATGATAACATTGTCCCTATTAGATAGGAAACTTTGTTAATTAATTTTTTTAATATATATTATTTTTATCTTTATCTAGCATTTTTTTATCATTTTTTTTATATCATTTTATCATATAAGTGTGTGTAAAAAAATATGACGCTGGAGATCTAAAGCATTTGGTGGAGTTTTTGAAAGACATTTCCGAAATATCAAAATCTAAATTCAAATTCAGCATTTGATGTGTATCTTATTATTCTTTTTGTTTTTTTTTTAAACTACTCATTATTTCATATTCTATCAATTTAAATTAAACTGTCATTTATATCGATTCATTAAAATTTATACATTTTGAATCAAAATTTAAATTCAAATTCAGCAATTGGTGGACATTTTTTTTTAGTTTTTTAAAAATACACATTATTTTGTATTTCATTAATTTAAATTAAACTCGTTATTTCTACTAATGGATAAAAATATTAACTTTTGATATAATTTTTATTTTTATTTTTTAAAAAATAAATTGAAATTGTAGAGTACTTGAATTTTATTGGTTTGGATGGGGTTGCCAAGAATGGCAAATAAAAAAAAATCAGAATCCAATTCCCCAATGTGAAGACTAGTGAGGTCCATTTAAGTCGGCTCGGATATACTTGCACCGCTTGTCGGCTCCTTATTGGCCCTTAAGAAAAACTAATAGCTTTCAATTTCATATGCCGGTTGTCGCTACACGACGTCGGACGGGACTCTTCAAGAAAATTAAAAGTCCGTGCGTTAATTATTTACAGAATTATTTATAGAGTTTTGGAGTCATCACCTAGTATTTAAGGAACTAGGAACCTAAAAGTAGCATTGGTTCGGAGATTCGTAAGGTAAGGAGTTGGTAACACTTTTAGGAAGATATTTAATCACCTAAAAGTGCCATTTTCGAAAAAAGGTACCATGTATGGTTTAGTTCTAAATTCGTCTCCTAAAAATCCATGTCAAGCTATTTTCTAATTTTTAAACTTCTATTTTTTAGACTAAATGAATAGTTTAGTTTTAGGCGTGGCATCATATTGAAACGATCGTCGGTCCCCTTCATTGGATGACACGTCGATTCAAACATCGGATCCACTAAAAGCCTTGACACAACCAAGGTGTGTCGGAGGACGTCTTAATTAAAAGGTGATTTTTGGTGACATCGCCCCTATCAAATAGGAGGCTTCGTCGAAAATTTTGAATTTGGTGACGTCGATCCCTATTAGATAGGAGACTTTGTCAAATTTATTTATTATATGTGTTTTTGCGTGGCGTCAATCCCTACTAAGTAGGAGGCTTTGCCAAAATTTAAGCCTTTTTTTTTATGACGTCGGTCCCTATCGATAGGAGACTTCGTCAAGATTTTTTTTTTTAGCAATACATATTAAAGAAAATAAAATAAAAAATCTAAATTAATACCTAAAAACGACAAGAAATAGAAATAAACAAAGCTAAAAAATTTAAATGAAAAAGAAAAGAGATAAACATAAAATAAAAAAATCATCCTATATAAACAAAGTTAAAAAATAAATGAATAATAAAAGTAATAAAAAAAATCATCCTATACCTAAAATATTAACCCATAACTTTTACTCTTTTTTTTTTTTACTCATCCCTCTTTTTCTTTTTCCTTCTTATTTTTTTCTTCCTTTTACTTATTTTTCATTTTTTTTATTGCCTTTTTTCTTTTTCTCGTTTAGGTGTAAAGGGCATGGATCGGATCGATTTCACTTGTATTTATTTTGGAGATGGGGTGCGGTCGGGCTGATTTCTTTTTTTTTTTTTTTAGCATCGGGTTGGTCTAGGCTGAAAGGAAGTCCAACCCCTTTTGTTTCTCTTTTTTCCACGAGTCGAGCTCGGACCTTAAGCCCGAAAACAAGCCCGCGTGCTTTTGTTTTTATTTTCGGATCAAAATCAAAAATTTTCAAGTTTTAAACCTTTCTCTCTCCCGTTCTTCGTGTTCTTCATTTTCTCTCCCTAATTCTTCAAATTTTGGAAACTACAAGTGCTATTCAATTAAACGATTCAATTAAGAAACAACATCCATTCTTTCCTCCTATTCGTACGCAATTCAAAAAAACAAAACTTAAGAGTGAAAGCAATAACGATATCAAAATGAGGAAAAGTTAAACCCGAGAACCGACTTGGGAATTAGATGAACGACCCCAAGAACAAAACCCGAAAAACCCAAAGAACTCGAACGAGGAACTCAAAATTTCGCGATCGAAAGCCCAAGAAGTGAGAGCTGCCGTGTATAGTGAAAATTTACCTCAAGAAAAACAAAAACAAAGGACGAAAAAGGAAGCCAGTTGAAGAACCAAAACCTAGGTCTATGAACACAACGAACACAAACCCAAAAAAAACCCGCAAATTCAACACTCGCCCAAAACAATTAGTGGATGAAATCCTCGAATACTAATCAAAACCTCAAAACCGAAATTGAAATGAACAAACGCATTCAAATCTAACCCGCACCTAGAAAAAAATCAAGCAATGAGGTGAAATTGCAAATCCAAGATGAAGAGCATGAAGAACATTCAAACCGAAAACCCGTAAAAATGCAATGACCGGAAATCTAAAAATCAAGCCTTTTGTTCTCAATTTTCTATCCCTCTCAACCTATAATTCTTCCCCCCAATTTTTCTCCTTTTTTTGTGAAATTCAAAACGTTTTATAGCACAAAATTTTCTAAAATTTCTCCGAGAATCGAATCTCAAATCCCGAAATTTTCTATCAAAATTTTTCCTCTTTAATTCATGATTAATGCAAAATCAAAACAGAAATTGCTTGATTTTCTCGTTGGTATTAATTACGTCCAATAATGCATAATCAAACAGAAATTTGATCTTGGATTTGGCGCATTTCTCCAAAGATTTTCGGAGAGAATTTGCCTTGGAGTGGACAACGGGTCATCTTCTCCATTTTGGTCTTGTCGTTCGCTCCAAACTTTCGCTTTGGTCCTCGCATTTCAATTTCCACAATTACGCCCTTCGATGGTATAATTTCAGCACAATTTCATCAATTAGGTCCATGGAGGTGCAATTTAAGGCTTAGTTTTTTCAATTGACCCGATTACACCCCTAATTACTTCAATTGTATCCCTAAATGAATTTTTTTTTTAGTGTGTTTTTCATCATTTTCTTTCTTTTCTTTTTTCTTCCCTTTTTGTTTTTTTAGTAAACTTCGAATTAAAAAAAAAAATAAATAAAAATAAAAAAAGAAACATAAATAAAAATAAAAATAAAAATAAATAAATAAAAATAAAAATAAGGAAAATTTTTGTTATTACACCGGTCAACAAAATTAAGAATGGAAAAATCTTTGCAAATGAAGCTTTCAAAGCAAAAAATGATATGTTTTTGTGGATTTGGATTATTTTGCAATTTCTTATTCTTGATAAACTCAAAAAACTATTTGCTAGCTAGATATATCTGATGCATCATCATTTCTTCTCTTATTTTTAATGTGAAATCTCCTTCGTTAAACTTATATAATATTCTAATTAAAAGAAATTAAAGGCATGGGCATTTTACTGTTTTTAGATTGTGCACTTCCTCTGTTTTAACTGTTCACATCTTTTTTTTTACTTTCCATCTGGGTTTTGAGTTGTTTTTTTTTTTTTTTTTTTCATACATAAGCCCTTCCATTTTCTTCTTAATTTTTGTCATGCCACTCAATGAAATTATGAAATTTCGTATTTACCCTTGATTAATTTGCTTTTAATTTGCTTCTTGTGCTTTTTTTGTCATTTCCTTTGTTTGCCAATCATTTGCTTTAGATAAAGCATTAAATGCTGTCATTCATTGTTTCTTTTTGTCTCTTTGTTTGTTTTTCAGATGGAAGAATTGCAATCAAGAATAAATTATAAATTGATCCCTGTTGTTTCCACAAACAAATTAATTAGTTTCTATAATTTCAAAAATTGATAACTTAATTTTATTTGCTATTTTTTCATTTATTATTTTTTTATCGAAAAGAAATAAAAAATAAGAGAAAATATTTCTTTATATCAAAATTTTTAAGAATTATTTTTTTAATAAATTTTATTGTAATCTATAAATTTCAAATCTATTCAATATATTCCTTACAAGTAACTTTTTTCAATATCTTTTGTTTTACAATGTAGACTCTAAGCCTACTCGATATATTTATAATATAAAAAACTGAATAATTTGTTTTTACCAAAATCAACTATGCAACTATATCGCTAAGCATTTTACTATTTATTATTTATAGATATTTTAAATCAATTTCTTTTAAATTAAACATATGAAATTATGTTTTTTCATAATTAACTCAATTATTCAAATATAATTTTTTATTTAAATATAATTTTTTTCTTAATAAATATATAAAGAATAATTTTTAATTTTTAATTCTCTTTTTGTTTAAGAATCCATAAATAAAGAAGAATTAATATTTTTCAAGTAGAAAATTATGAAAAAAAAATAAAAAGAAACAGTTAGATAAAAAAAATTGAATAGAATATTATAAAATTGGATTTTTTTTTTACTTTTCATTTTATATATTTTTATGGATCGTATATAGCACAATCATTAAACCGAAATGATTTTTTAAAATAATTTTACATATTTTTTCCATCTCGCGACATAGCACCAACAAAAAAACTAGTATTCTACTAGAAGATGACTATATTCAAAATTCAAATTCAGATTAAATGCTTGGTGGAAATTATATTGTTCTTTTTTATTTAAAAAAAATTATTTATCGATTTCAATCCTCGATTTTGTATCTATAACTTTTTTATTTTTTAAAAATATTTATTAGATTGAATGCTTTAGTATGCTACACACACGACAATCTCGGTTATTATAATTTTAGTTGTTCAAACTATAAATAAAAATAATATCATTTGTATTTGTAATTATCACCTAATAAAATCTTCATAAAAAGTCCCAAGTATAGTCGTAAAATAAGCATAATTACTAAACTATGTAAATCTATATGCTCGTGTGATTGTTTTTGTCTTTTTATTCTATTTTCTTACTTGATTTGTTTCCTAACATATATGCCACCCTCACATGGTATGCTTATTAAAGAAAATAAAAAATTCTTTGCTTATATGTGATTTGTGGCTTTTTAACGGAATCTAATATTCCTGGATACTAGTTTGTTTTAAACCATGATTTTTTTTTAATAGTGTTATTCTCACTCAATAATTTATTAATTAATTATGCTCCCTAATTTATTTTTATTATTTAGATACACCAAGATACCTTATTTATATCTTTCACATATGGTGATTAAATGTTGATATTCTAAATAAAACTAAAACAAAACACAAAGATATTGTATAAATCATTATTTCTTTCACCGTTTACATATGCTCATTAGCATTGTTTACCCACGTTGTAATTGCATTGTGCAATTTACTTTTTGAAACAAGTTTGCCAAACTTTTTACACTTTGGTCTCTTATTTTTTCAAAAACTTTTGTTTTGATTTCAAACTTTATTTGTATTGTACTGTAATCATAGCTTGGATGAGAGAAAAACGAAAAGAGAGAGAGAGAGAGAGAGAGAGAGAAGGGAGGAGATAGGTAGAGAGATTGTAAGGCCCTTTTCAACCACCTCGACCAACGTTCTCGCAATCAATTCATTCATATTGAAGAGTAGAATTCGTTTGTAACAATGAGAAGTCATAAAATGATTGGATGAGGTAGATTGAAATTTAAAAATATTATAAGTTTTTCTATTTTGATTTAAATTTTTATGTGTATTTAAATAGGTTTTGAAGTTCTATAAGAGTTTATTGATGTCATTTATTTAATTTTGAAGTGTTTTTGGACAAAAATATGGTTGAATTTGGGTTTGGAAAGGTCAAAAATTAAAAATTCATTTTTTCAGCAATATTTTTGGTGAACTACTAGTTGTCAAAAACTATAGATGGGCAATATGTCATCTGCTACCTAAAGAGGACACAACGTGTCCTCCGATTTCTTTCTTTCTTTCTTTTTCTTCTTCTTTTTCTTTTCTTTTTTTTTTTTTTTTTTTTTTCGGAAGAGGGCTGCTCTTGCACTAGCCTAGAACCAGGCCCAAGTGTGTGCTCAAACTTGCTCCCTAGCCATGTTTTTTTATGGATTTTTAGAAAAAAATTATGGAAGATCAAATATTTTGTTTTTATTTATCATGTAGTGTGACAAGGATGAAATATATTTGATATATTTCAGATAATTTATCTCTTTATATATATTTTTTGCTTTATACTACACATTCTGAATTTACTAAGTATATTTATAATATACAAAAATAATAGTAAATCGTCAATTTTATTGAAAATTAACTATGCTTCTATACATATCATATGATTATTTTATGAATAAATATATATAAACCAAATACATGTGCTTTAAAAAAAAAATTCTCATCACATTAAATAAGAATAAAATTTAAAAATCTTCTTTTTGCAATCAAAATATTCATATTTTAGCTTTTTTTTATCATTAGCTATCGTCAAATTTAATTTATTCATAAAATTTTTTGGTCATAATTTTTTTTATTGTTCAAGAATTCTTTTTTTTTAATTGTTTCTAAATATTATTCACAAATAAAATTTTTATTTCATATATATAATAGAATAATTGCAAATTTTAAAATTTTAATTTTTAAATATTTCTTTTTTATTTGAATTAATTACGAATTTTAATAATTCAAAAGTAGTATTTTTTATCATACAAAATAAATATTTCAATAAATTTTAGTCATGTCTAAAGAAGAGATTTTTATAATTATATTAAAGATAAAAGGTAAGTTAGTCTCTTAATAAAAATTGTAATGAATGTGGAGTGATAGTAACAATTTAATAAATGAGTTAATAGATTAGGATCATAATTAGACTCGGATAAATTTTTTTTACTAGATTTATTTAATTACATAAATTCGGATTAAGATTCGATACATTTAATTGCATGTATAGCATGAAAAAGAAAAAGGAAAAGTTTTTGTTCCTTTGTTAGCTGACTTGTGCTCATATATATATATAAGATAAAGCTTCAATTTTATTTTTTTTGTTGGTATAGTTAATATGAGATAAAGCTTCAATTTTTTTTTTTTTTTTTTTTGTTGGTATAGTAACAGAGTGAGAGGAATTAAAAAGAAAACAAGAGTTGTTTTTTTTTTAATGAATTTTATAGAAATAAAGGAAGAATTTTTTGTGCACAAACTATTAGGTTTTCTTTAACTTTGATTTTTGAATAATACAATTACAAAGAATTGTAGTGTTCAAAGTGATGATCGAATATGGGCTTTGCAGAAATACAAAGATTTATCAAATTTAAAATTTTATTGGGAAGACAAATTTAGTTAGAGAGGTAATTTGTATTATTATCATTTTTTTTTTTTTTTTGAAGTTCAAGAGAAAAAACTTAAATGATTGTATAACTTTCTTAGTGGATTTTTTTGGAATTAGTCTATAGTTTTTTTCATCTATAATAGAGAGGTTTTCTATGTAAATTTAGAGTTCTTGTAGTTGTGTACCTATAAATGATTTAATTTATATTTTTAATTGTTGTATTTATTTAACTTGATAATTTAACGTGTGTTTTTTGTAATGGGAGCTGGAATTTGATGATACTCATTCCCCTATTACTATAGAAGATACTAGATGGATTTGATAATGCAACTGCTGTGTTTACATTTTTTTTAAGACAATACTTACCAGCAAACATATTACATATTCTATCTCTCTTTAAAAAAAAAAAAAAAACTCCCTCTCTTTTTATTTATACTGGTCTCAAAATACTTGTCACCTTCCTACATACTCCAATTTTGTAATGCAGAATTAAATTGGATAGATTTTCTCTTTGAACAAAAAGTGTATTTTAAGAAAGCATTGTTAAAAAATGCTGATGTGATATTATAATTAATAAATTTATTAAATTGTGTGAAAAATTCAAAAGAAATTATCACTATGGACAGAGGGAGTAAATATCTTTTTTTGTACAGTATTTACAAGCAAGCTCCTCTTACAGTTCTCCTCAAACTTCTTAGATCAACAGCCTGGATTTATATCAGCCCAACCAACCATGGCCTTTATACCCACTGGACGCAATTCTTTTGTGGGTTCGAATCCATGGCCAAAGGGAAAGCGGGCCTTATTTCGAAAACCTAACTTGGAGTTTATTGATTATGGGTCTCGTTTAGAGCCTTGTTCTAGGCCTACAAGACCGGTCTTGGACTAGCTCGATTGTAAGCGAACTCTCGAATCAGATTGATAAATTGTCAGTAAATTATAAATCAGTCCCTCTGGTTTTCCAAAACGAATTAAACAATCACTTTGGTTTTAAAAGCCGCTAGTTACAAAATTATAATGTGGAGCACCTGAAGGTTTCATCTATTGCTTGAAAATCTAGGGCATGTCCACCTTTGAAAGATGGGAGAGACTTGAGATACTTGGTAGGTATTGACAGTCTTTCTAAGTAGCTTTGAGAAGACTTCAGCCATTTTCCAGGCTAAGCAAAAAAAAAAAGGAATACAGAGGTGGCCTTTAGATTATTTGCCTACTTTCTAATGTTGTAGTATGCTAAGTGCAAACTTTTGTGTGTGTATTTTATGGTTTTCTCTAAGTATTTTTATCTTATATTGGAGGTAAAAATAATTATGCTCAGAAACAATAAATTTTAACATTTGTCAACAAATAAGATTTCAAGATTTAAATCTTATACATCAGATAGAAAATTTATTTGGAGATTAACTCATTTACTATTGGACAAACAGCCCATTAATTTTTGTATGTGTATTTTTGCACACACATATTAGCCATTCCCTCTAGACAACCATCTTGGCATAAGCCGGTTAATTTATTAGAAATACTATTAAGCATAAAATGAGAGAAATTACTAGAGAGCAGAAAGCATCTTGTGTGATTTGTATATCTCAATTGTGGAAGTTTATATGACTATAGATATAATTTTACGTATCTAAAAAATAGAAATACAATCAGTATGATCTTTAGAAGATCTTAAGAATCAGTTCAGTGATCTTGTTGTAATATTTTGAGGATATTACACTAGATCCTATCAAGGTTGATATCACTAGGCGCAATTGGCACTATGGATGGCAAGAAACGGATCCCGATTCATTAATTCAATTTTTTTATCCTATTCATAAAAAGAATAATTTATCTATTACCGTTAAGAAATCATCATATAATTTTTTATACAATTTATACTCAGCTCACATTAGTCTACTCATCTATTTAGTACCTATTTAATACCTGCTAATATTAATTTATCAAAAATATTTATTTTAATCTCTATAATTTTTTATAAAAAAAATTTTTGTCCTTAAATTTTTTTTTTCATTTTGGGAATTTATTTATAAGGTTTTTTTTTGTCCTTAAATTTTTTTTAAAAAATATTTTAATCCTTAAATTTTAAATTTTATGCAATTAAATTTCTGTATATTAATAAAAAGTTAATGAATTAATGAATATTAAAAGGATAAAGAATGAATATTCATATTTTAAAATCATATTAATGATTATGTATTTTTTTTATTTTTATTTACTTCAATATCCATCCAACATTTTTAATATGTATTTATTAAACAGATAAAATAATATCCGTTTTATATTAGATTTATTACCATCTCTAGTTGGCACCATAGGTTTATGCATGTGCCAGTGGACTGAAAATGGAGATAAGATAGCTAGAAAAAAATTCCAGGGAAAGGGACATAATTTTATCGCCACCATCTTAGATAGAAACATATCTAATCGGACGCAAGGTTTGCAGTTTTACTCAACCACTCCATCAGCAATTTATAATTTCCTAGTCATCACGGCGTTGTCCAATTTCCACCTATGATTTTAACTTATAGATATTAGTAGACCACAGACTCGTGGGGTCCTTCGCAATAATTGAAGATATTTTTAATTAATAGTATAATTTTTTCAACTTTGTTTGAATTTGTTTAATTAAATCTGCAAAAGTATACATGGCATATAAATATATTAGAAATTTTTTATCAATTCTTTGTGTATAAGAAAGAGATAAACATAAAATAATAATAATAATAATAATAATAATAAAATTTTAAAAAATTAAGTCCATATGAAAATATTATTATAAAAAACCTTTTTTTAAAGAGTAGAATCTATATATATATATATATATATATATATATATATATATATATATCTCTTAAAAATAAGCTGATGAAATAATTTTTATAAATAATTATTTCTGAAATATTTTAAATTTTTTCGAATCGGCCTTATTTCCATGTCGTCGTCAAGTTTTCTTGGTTATTAATTATCGAACAAGGGGTCCACCGATCTAAGGATTTCATTGCATGGCTGTAATCGCAGCAGTTCATCTTTGCTGTTGGATTCTGGCTTTGTTGGAACTAATTGGTAAATTTCTTTTTATGCTTTTGAATTTTTAGAGACACTGAAGAGGTTATGTTTAGTAGATATATATTAATACCATTGTTGTTTAAGTTTACCAATAGAAGTTTCCTTCACTAGGTTTTTTATTTTTTATTTTTGGATAAAATTTCCTTGACTATGTTAGTCTATTGTAACTCCACTAGATCCTTGGTGATGAAGAAAGGCGGAGTCTTGGTCAATCGAACATTACCTATTTCAATAATACTGTTCCTGCACTTGTATTTTATAAAAATTAATCTAACAGAAAACCAATGAAAAAAAATAAATTATTTACGAAATTAAAGTATAAAAAATTAAATGATTAGTTTTTTTAAAAAAGAGATCAATTAATTTGTTTCTTTAAACCAGAGAGACTAATTTATAATTTACTAATATTAACAATAACAAGTAACCTGTAATTTTTTTTTAACTAGTATTAACAATAACAAGTAACTTGCCAAAAAAAAAGTACATTAGGCATTTGGATTTCCTTGAAGCAATATTAATACTATCATAGAGCTTCATTTCAAAGAAATAGATCATTTCCTATTTCCTATCAAGACAACCAGAAACATGAGTAAACTGTAATAAATTGTTCAGGAGGGGTCATCAGAGACGGAAATAGAAATTTAGAATCGGAGGAATAATGACCTTTAAAGTTTCAGGACCAAAATGTTAAATTTGAAAAAGTTGGGGGTGCTATTGGACCCACTAATCAACGTAGTTCGCCCCAGGTGGCTACTCTTACGTGTCTAAAGAAGGAGATGAGACAACGTGGGTCTGGACAGGACAGAACCTGGGCCTAGATTTCAGGGGAAAGTGAACTTGGAAGAACGGTAGGCTTAGAGATCATATTAATGGTGCAAAGCCGATAATAGCACCAAAAATCTTGATTGCCTTTTCAACTCGAACTCCATAATTGGGTGCTTCATTGGTTTGAATTCTACACTTGTAAAACTCGATCTTGTCACCCACTTTAAGTTTCTTCCTGTTTACAAATGCAAGCCAACCCTTCGAAATAATTGGCTTCAGGTACTGTCCTTTCTTGCGAATGGAGCATTGAAAAGTCCAAACTTTGCCTTTCTCATCTTCAGCTTGAAAATCTACGGCATGGCGGCCTTTAAATGGTGGGAGAGACTTGAGAAACTTGATAGGCACTGACAGCCTCTTCTTAGTGTCTGTCTTGGTAAGGATCTTGGAGAAGTTAGCCATGCCTTAGGACAATCCAGAAGGATAAAAAAATTTGATCTTTCTTATTTGTTCCTTTTTGCTTCTCTATGCGTAATATTTATAGAGAGACCAAAGTACTCTCAAGTGTACTCTTAATTATCCATTGTGTAATTGTATGCATGTCGTCAGGCTTATGTATCCCTATCAAAGACCTTTTTGTAGTAGACCCAAGAAGAAATTTGAATAGCTTGATTTCGTACAAAATCGAGCGGCACGTAGCTAATGAACGAAAGGTATCGCGCGGTTGGAGATGGATACCTTATGCGTTATAAAATTAAACTCTTTGGAATTCATGGGTTTATTAATTAGATCACTAAATTATTAGCTTCCTGGTTATATAATCTAAAAATCCAATAAATTTATAATCTTTTAGATAGAATTCATTATCAATCATCTAATTTAATATGGTTTCAATTTTTTTTAAAAAAATTCAACATAACCATTTAACAAATCTTAAAAAATAAAACGTCAATGAAAATATATTAAAAATTTTATTTTATGTGGAATAAATAAATAATGAATAATATATATATAACCACCAACTATAAACTTTAAGTTTTTTTTAATAGAATTCAATCTCAATTATTAGATTTAATAATGCAACGCTAGATTACTAGCTAGCTAGTTATATAATCTAAAAATCCAATAAATTTATGATCTTTTAGATAGAATCCAATATTAATTAATTATTTAATTTAATATTATGTCAAAAAAGTTTAAAAAAATTCAAGAGAACCATTTAACAAACTCTAAAAGAAAAACCATAAATGAAAGTGTGTTACAAAATTTATTTTATATGGAATAAATAAATAAGTAATGAGACTATGAAAAAAAAACCATCAACTAGAAATTTTAAGTTTTTTTTAACATAATTCAATCTCAATTATTAGATTTAATAATGCATAGCTAAATCATTATACATGAACTTTGTTATTATTATTGCTCTTAAGAGGCAAATATAATTTGCTAAATCGGTCTTGAAATTCATTTCTTTGTTCCTTGATGAGCAAGTTTTGAGAATTGTTTTCTAGCAAGTGGTTGTTCTTGTATCTTATAATTCCATCTCATTTGCGGCCCTCCCCTCCCCTTTAATTGGCACTGCAACCTTTTCTTTGACCACCAAACCTCCGATTTTTGCTTTTTATATTTTATATTCTACAAAACAAATGGATAAGCCTTAAAAAAATAGCCAATATTTATTGTCCACGACATCTTCTTCTGGAACATCGACTCTTCGCCGGTCATTGCCAACCTCACTCACATGTCAGTAACGATTTTCAAACTTTCCATGGAATCTTTTGCTTGTTCTTATGTTTGCGTTCACATTTTAGGTCTTCCAGAAACAATTATATGTAATCATATCCGATTATCCATATTTATTATCGAGAAACTATTAGATGTACTCGAAATTATGTTCACTCCTCATGCTGCAATGTTAAAATAATAATAATAATAATAAATCATATTTATAGTAGAATATAGATTTATTTGTTATATTTTAATTAAAAAATTAATCACTTGTTGATGTAGTTATTTTTAATTTTCGAGCAGGAATTTAGTGTGTCGAAATTTTTTCATCTTTATCATGGGTGCAAATCAGTTTTTATCCTTCTCTTTAAAAAAAGATTCCTTGTTGAATTGGGACTTAGGAACGTGTGGTTATGAATTGGCTCCAACTTAATACGCAAGGATGGGGCTTTTTCTTTGATTTTTCCACTTCACAGCAGGAAATTTTCATTCTCTCTCTCTCTCTCTCTCTCTCTCTCTCTATATATATATATATATATATATATATATGACTACCATACATTTCCCTCGTTAAAATTTGTTATTAATTTTAATCAGTTGTAAAATTTTGTTGGTAATTGTATTCAATAATTAGTTGCAAATTATTTCAAAATTAATCTTTTGAAACCAAATGAATAATTATCTACAAATGATAATTAATAATTTGTAAAACTATTTTTTAGACTAAATTATCGGTTCAATTTTCAAAAAAAGAAAAAGAAAAAAGAATTCTTAATTGAGTTACTAAAATAACAATGCAGGGATTTCTTAGAAATTTTTCTACTAAATACGAATATTGACTCGATTTTGCCTCAAGTACTTTTGATGAATTGGTTTAATAGTTAAAAATATACATTTTATTTTTTGGTTTTTTGAATTTAAATCTTAGAATCGGTGTTTATAAAAAATTATTAAATTTTTCTAAATGAATCTTATTGATTTTAAAAATATATTTTAAAATTCGTTGATGGATGTGGGATCTTTTAATAATTTTTATATTATGAGATTATGAATATGTCTTGTTGAAGTTCTCTCAAAATTTGTTAATGTAACAATCACGATACTGTTTTTGTATTTCAATTTTCACGTATCAAACAAACACTCGAAATATAGTTTTCGGTAGTTTTTTTTATGTAATTACCAAACGTCAAAAAATATTTTTTGAAAAATAACTTCCTGAAAAATAGGTTTTTCAGAATTTTTTTTCCTATTAAAAGTTATTTTTTGCCAAACAAATAGAGTCTAAGTCGCAAGATTTGGTCCTACATGGTACATGGAACGAACTTTGGTCGGCCGATTAATCAATGATGAGAAACAAACATAAACACGAAAATAAGGGATTTCAAATCATCAATTAGTTGTCAATTAATTTGCTATGTGGCACATTTTATGCCACTGTTAAGTACTTAGAGGCAATGCCTCGTGAAGCAATTAATGTAATTTCTATGATAATCAATAAAAAAAAAAAAACTTTTATCGATGGAAAGTTTTTTTTTGTATAAAAAAGTAAAAATTCAATTAGATTCAGCTACTTAATTGTCATGGGTCAAATTGAGGCCTTTAGAAATTTTCAAGATTTTTATTATAATTTTTTTATAAGAAATACAAACTATAGTAAAATAAAACTAAATTACAGGGGACTAAAATTCTATTTTTCCATGTCTCCTAATAAATTTTTTGTTTTATTACCCAAACTTCTTGAATATAAACTATATTTATAGATTAAATGTTGTGTAAATCAATTTTTTTTTCGATTTTGTGATTAAAAGTTTATTAATTTAACATTCACGATGATATGTTACATTGTTTGTGTTGCATGAACAAGCACATTGAATTACTTGATTGCCAACTTTGTATTATGTCATTGATTAATAAAATTAATTGACTATATTTTAATTCAACGAGTAAGGGTGTCATCTCGGCTAGTTTTTTGGTATTTCAAGACTAATTCTTCTCTCGAACATGGCTAAATGATGCTTATTGAGAGGGTATTTATGACTTAATAGTTAATGGTTAGTTGGTTAGCTAGTTTAATACTATAACGTAATATTGATTGGTTAGTTGAGTATTGTAACTCGTTGAGATGTAGAGGATAAAACCTCAAGTGTATATAAGCCAAAGTTAGCTAAAGTTGTACGATACTGAAAAATGAGAATATGTAGCAACCATTGTTCTTCATCTTTTTCTTCTTCTTAACATGGTATTAGAGCGTTTTTGTTCTTTTCTCTCGTTTAAGTCGTGAGAAAATTTCTCTTTCTGCTTAAATATTGAGTTCTTTCAAGATTCTTGAGTTTCCTTCTCAAAATTCTTATCTTTACTTTGTTTTTAGATCTCATTTTTTGGGAAACCTTGTTTTCAATCTATGCAATTTGCATATTCACAATATATATTTTCTCGAGAAATTTTTTTCCTTTCTCTCACAAATATAGAAAATCAATCTAAGATCCCTCATTTCTCATACCCTACTACCTCACTTAGAGGTGTTAACAATCCTCTCGTTTCTACATCCTTCTAACACACCAAATTTGATTTTAGTTATTTATTTACTCCAAAATGAAGAACATTACAGTTCATGGAGTAAAGCAATGGTAATTTTTTTGGAAGCAAATAACAAGAATGGCTTTGTTAATGGCAAATTTTCAAGATTGAATCTTTATTCACCAAATTTTGCACAATGAAAAAAATGTAATGCCCTAGTTCATGTTTGGTTGTTGAACTCTATTTCTACTTAATTGTTCAATAATTTGGTTTATTATCAATATGTTGAAGAAATGTGGAAAGACCTTAAAGAAAGATTTGACAAGCAATATGGAGCAAAGATTTTTTCCTTGCATAAGAAAATTAATTCATTAGTTTAAGGATAAGATAGTGGTTGTTTATTACTCGAAATTAAGGCATCTCTCGAATCAACTTGACTCTTTGATTCTTACACTCGCTTGTATTTATCCATATTGTCACGGTGAAGTTTCACAACCTGTTTGTTGAGTATACACAACATAAAGTAATACGAGTTCTTGATGGGTTTTGACTGGTAATTTTCAATTTTTAAGGTTTTAAATTCTATTGATGCAGCCTATGCCCACTCATTCCTAGGCGGATTCCGTGGTTTTCAATGAAGAATCACAAAGAGGAATCGATACCATTCCAAGAGCCCCCACTATATTTTACTCTATCGAACTCAATATCAAATGAAGTAATTCCATAGTAAAAGCAACTTTCACATTATAGAAGAGAAGTTGTTTGTTTGTGATTATTGCCATATATATGGTCATATGAAGGATATATGTTA